GGAACATGATCTTTACTTAATATCCTAATGATTTTTGGCATAAAAGAGAAATGTATAATTGTGACCCATACAATGTATTGTTGGCTATTGCTACAAATATCCCCCAGCAACTTAACACTGCTTTTGTGCTGCAGGGACACAGATATTAACTGATTTATTCATGATCTGAGCAAGATTGTCCAGCAGCTCTTAAATGAAGGGCCAGTCAGTGACGACTGGAGATGTGAATGTGATGGAGGATTATTAGAGACTTATCATAAAAATACCACAGGATTACGGAGGACCAAAAGTTAAAGATGTGACAATATTTGAAAGCTCGGTTATAATAGAAACTGTGTGTCTCACACTGACAGAAGCGCAGCTGTTTTAACTGTTCTCATTATTTGTGCTTAACTTGATGATGAAAACTTGAAAAAGCTTCATTGATATGATTACATGTATGTAAGTTATGTTTCCGATCATTTTTATTTTTTGTTATAATAAAACGTTCTGTTGTTAAAGCTCTGCGTGAGATGAGACTTTTGATCTTTGGTCTTATCCCGGCTAAATAAACATTTAATATAAAATTAAAATTTAACAGTTGTTTCTGTAACTTTTAATGTGTTTTTTAATTACAGGGTTATTATAGTTAACTAAAACTGAAACTAAAAAATATGTTTATCTGAAATAAAATCAAATACATATTTTTATTTCAGCTAGCTGCCAAGGCAACATTTTAATGCAGTTTAACTTGATGTACTAAAATAACTAAAACTAAAATAAAACTTTATACACACACATATGTACACTAAAAATTACAAAACATACAACATTACTAAAACTTTAACTTAAAGTAACATGAAGGCAAAAAGTAAAACAAAATCCAATTCAAAATATTCAAAATATGATAGTATCTCAATGATTTTAAAATAACACTCGTTGTTTTTGGACGTTTTGATCTGTTTGTGGTTCCTCGGTGCAGTGCGTGACGTACAGCGTCATCTAGCGTCAGCGCGGTGCGGAAGTGACGTAGAGGTGAACGCGCACGCACGTGTGTAGCGCAGCATGTTTCTGCAGCACATGTTTGTGTTTATGTGACTGTAAGAACGCTGATCGGAACCGGTGTGAAACTCGAGCGGCGCTGTGTCGGTCATGACGGGGGAACACGAGCGGTATCCGCCGCCGAACTTCAGCGCAGCAGCGGCACCTCCAGCGGCACCTCACTGGAGCGGCTCCACGCCGCAGAGCAGCCGCAGGTTCGAGGCGTCCCGAGACTGGAGCTGGACTCAACCGGCACAGACCGGACCCTGGCCCGGCCACCACCAGCCGCAGCAGTACGCAGGTACACGAGCTCAGTGTACCAGGGTAATACCATGGTGTTCTGTAAGGTGCCTTTAGCACATGGCACTGTCATGTGTATCTGGACGGGTACCACGGGTTAGTTCTGAAGAACCATTCACAAGGTTGATCACGCTCCCACAGGGTCTCATGTACCCAGTTAACTGTTCAGTTAGTATCATGTACCTGGTAAACTGTTTAATTAGTATTACGAACCTAATTAACGGTTCACTTTGTAGTATCATGTACCTGGTTAGTTATTATCATGTACACAGTTAACTGCTCTGTTAGTTATTTAGTATCATGTACCCGGTTAACTGTTCAGTTAGGTATTAGTATCATATACCTGGTTAGTTAGAATCATGTATCCGATAAACCAGGGCTGCCCAAACTCAGTCCTGAAGAGTTTAGCTCCAACCCCAATTAAGCACAGCTGAACCAGATAATCAAGCTTTTACTAGGCATACTAGAAACTTAAAGGCAGGTGTGTTGAGGCAAGTTGGAGCTAAACTCTGCAGGACACCGGCCCTCTAGGACCGAGTTTGGGCAGCCCTGCGATAAACTGTTTAGTTAGTTATTATCACACACCCAGTAAACTGTTCATTTAGGTTGTATCACATACCTAGTAATCTAATCAGTTTGTTAGCATCATGTACCCGGTGAACTGTTCAGTTAGTCGCATGTACCCGGTGAACTGTTCAGTTAGTCGCATGTAGCCGATGAACTGTTCAGTTAGTCGCATGTAGCCGGTGAACTGTTCAGTTAGTCGCATGTAACCGGTGAACTGTTCGGTTAGTCGCATGTAACCAGTTAACTGTTCAGTTAGTCGCATGTACCCGGTGAACTGTTCAGTTAGTCGCATGTACCCGGTGAACTGTTCAGTTAGTCGCATGTACCCGGTGAACTGTTCAGTTAGTCGCATGTAACCGGTGAACTGTTCAGTTAGTCGCATGTAGCCGGTGAACTGTTCAGTTAGTAGCATGTAGCCGGTGAACTGTTCAGTTAGTTGCATGTAGCCGGTGAACTGTCCAGTTAGTATCATATACCTGGTTAACTGTTCATTTAGTATGCTCGTGTTTAGTTCACTGTTGATATAGTTGTTAGTATGAAACAGTGAGTTTTATAATAATTTCTTTGACCTCATGTCATTTCTATCAGGTCATCTTCATCATCACCATCCTCAGCCTCCTCATCATGGCTGGCGGGGTTCAGCGCAGCATCACTGGGGTGGAAAGGTAAATCCAGACACTGATCTTCTATGAGTGTTGATTTGCAGTCATGTATGATGTGAAGTGAGGTTCCATGTGTTCGTTTGAGCAGAAGCAGCAGAAAGAGCCTGGGTTCAGTCATTTCTGTGACACCTGTGACCGAGGCTTCAAAACTCAAGACAAATACGATGAACACATCTCGCAGCATGTGAAGGTGATCCGCCGTAATCAACACGCACCACAGCTCGTTCATGTGATCATGCAGCTGTCCTTCAGACGTCTGTGACGTACTGTACAGCGTCTCATTAGTGCTCTTCTGTGTGTCTGCAGTGCTCTGTAGAAGACTGTCTCTTCACTGCACACGAGAAGCTGGTGAAGATCCACTGGAGAAACGTGAGTGTCCCCTTCAGAAGCTCATGCTGAACATCACAGGTCTCTAAGAGAAGTCCACAACAATAATGATGATGAGACAGAGGAACAATCACTGCAATCACTTTCAGAGTGTTTTTAAAAATGCTGAAAACATTGACAGCTAATCAGAATCCATCCGACTTTAAAGAGCTCGAGCATTTAAAGCGACAGAACACTAAACTGCAGTGTGTTTATAATAAACAGAACATTGTCATCCACTGGTTTGGACACTAATATAGTTATATATCATTATAGTTGGTGTGAACACGTCTTAAATGTTTAAAGTTGAGTGTGTGACGCTGCTGTTCTCCTGCAGAATCACGCTCCAGGAGCCAAGAGGATCAAACTGGACACTGCAGAGGACATCTCCAGATGGAGAGAGGAGAGACGCAAGTGAGACGGACGTGTGCAGTTTTGTAAATAATTAGGAAAAAGATTCAAGTGAACAAAAAAAAATTTTCATGGAACATAAGTCAAGTCACATGTATTTCTATAGCGCTTTCTACAATACATATTGCTTCAAAGCAGCTTCATAGAAATAAACAGGAAAATGATGCAAAATTAACTTTCAGCTGTAAACGGAAGACGATAGTGTCGTTATTAAATTCCTTCATATGTGTAGAAACTACCCAACGCTGAGAAACATAGAGAAGAAGCTGAAGCTTATGGAGATGAAGGAGCAGCGAGGAGACGTGCTGGAGACGGCTCAGTTCGGGTGCGTTTCTGATCTTCATATCATTACCCAACAATGAAAATGTGCTGTAAATGGTCTCACCCTCAGGCCGTCCGAGATCAGGATGAGTTTGTCTCTTCATCAGGTTTGGAGAAATGTAGCACTGCATCAGTGTCTCAGCAATGGGTGCTCTGCAGTGAATGGGTGCCGTCAGAATGAGAGTCCAAACAGCTGATAAAAACATCACAATAATCCACAGCACTCCAGTCCATCAGTTAACATCTGGAGAAGACAAAAGTTTTGGACTGTTGTGGCTTGTAAACGCTGCTTGATCTGTGCAGATTTCTCTCCTGATTCAGACCAGAACACTTTTTCACTGGAGGAAGCGTTATTATGGACTCGTATAAAAACGTCTTAATGCTGGATGTGTTTCAGCTTTTGTCTTCTCCAGATGTTAACTGATGGACTGGAGTGCTGTGGATTATTGTGATGTTTTTATCAGCTGTTTGGACTCTCATTCTGACGGCACCCATTCACTGCAGAGCATCCATTGCTGAGACACTGATGCAGTGCTACATTTCTTCAAGAGACAAACTCATCCTGATCTCGGACGGCCTGAGGATGAGCACAGTTTCAGATCATTGGTGTACGATTCCTTTCACTGCATTGTTTAAGTGAGTTTGAATGTGATCTGTGTGCAGTCGCATCAGGAGCCGCGGTAGGGGACGAGGATCTGACCGCTGGAGATGTGAAGGGTCCCGTCATCACACGAGCTCTGAGACGGATCTGAAGCGGCCGCATCAGGACAGAGATCCTCTGGCGGCTCTCGTCTGCAGTGACCCCGGTCCGTCTCAGCTCTCTGCTGATGATGATGATGTGATGCAGAACTGTGCTTCGTTCGGTCAAACAGACTTTGTTTGTGTTCTTTCAGAGTCTGATAAGGACGAGTCTGTTCAGCAGACGCCGACTGGACTCACTGTCGCACCCAAGAGCGTGACCTCTGCCCTCGGGTCACTGATGTCCAGCTACGGGGACGATATGACCTCCAGCGAGAGCGAAGGAGACACAGACGGTATGAGTTCGGTCCTGATGATCAGCAGGGCTCAGTGTTAACACTATTCTAGTTATCAGAGTCAAAAAAATAACAATTACACTAAACATCCAGATACAAATTCTGTACTGCAATACAGCATCATGTGATATATCAATATGTTTTAATGCATTGTACAAAGAAAATGTTAGATTTTTTATCAAATTGAAAGATTGTGTATAATTGTTCTTTTTATCTATTTTTAATTTTTGTAAAAAAAAACAAAAAAGTTAAATTATAGAATTCATTGAATTATTATTGTTATTCAGACTATTTGAAATCGTATTACTCTTTAATATCGTCTTATAGTCTGATGCTGATATGGTGTAAAATGATTCAGAGTGCATTATTCAGTTTTAAAAGAATAGTTTGACAAAATAAAATGTGTTTTTATGTTTTATATTGCTCTCTGTGCCTATTAAAGCCCTGCTGCTGAAACTGCATATATTTCTCACGTTTTATTCCGTCACAGACGCTCCAGTGCTGAGAGTCAGTCAGGCTTTAGAGGAGAATAAGACGCTCCTGAATCCTCATCCACTTCCTGTCCAGAGGATCCCAGCGCCGCACGAGGAGAAACACACACACACACCACAGCAATCCCATCATGCCCCGGCCGGCAGAGGAAGAGGACGCGGTCGTGGTCGCGGGGCGAGAGGAGGACGAGGCGGTAAAACCTGTAAACCTGCTGAAACACAGAGACATCGCCCAACACTACTAGAGATGGTGAGTGAACACACACACACACACACTCACACACACACTCACTCACTACTCACTCACTCACTCACACACACACACACAGACACTCACTCACTCACACACAGATATACACACACACAGACACACACACTCACTCATTCACTCATTCACTCACTCACACACTCACACACACAGACACACACTGACACACATTCTCTCATCATTTACTCACCGTCTCATGTTATTCTAAACCTGTGTTTAGACTTTCTTTAGTGGACACAACATGAGATATTCAGCAGAATGTTCACACTGCTTTCTTACACAAAGTATTTGTGTGGCTCTTTTTATTTGTGACAGAAATTGATACTTTTATTCATCAAGGCTGCATTAAATTGATCAAAAGTGTCAGTAAAGACGTTTATAATGTTACAAAAGATGTCTATTTTATATAAAAGCTGTTCTTTTGAACTTTCTATTCATCTGTGAATCCTGAAATGCATCAGTTTCCACAAAAATATGGTTGTTTTCAACATTGATAATAATCAGAAATGTTTCTCGAGCAGCAGATCAGCATATTATACTGATTTCTGAAGATCATGTGACACTGAAGACTGCAGTAATGCTGATAAATAAATTACAGTTTAACAGAGATTCACATAGAAAACATCTATTATAATATTTCACAGTATTACACATCATGATTCGTCTGAATGTGTGTGTTTGTCGTGCAGCTACTGGCTCCAGATATCCGTCACGAGAGGAACGTGGTTCTCCAGTGCGTCCGCTTCATGTTTAACAGAGATTCACATAGAAAACATCTATTATAATATTTCACAGTATTACACATCATGATTCGTCTGAATGTGTGTTTGTCGTGCAGCTACTGGCTCCAGATATCCGTCACGAGAGGAACGTGGTTCTCCAGTGCGTCCGCTTCATCGTGCGCAGCGGGTTCTTCGGTCTGGCCGCTCGAGACTCTGGTGAGATCAGTGTGTCTGTGAACACAAGCGCTGAGCGAGCGTCAGATGAGGACCTCAGTGGAGACTGTGACAGGAGCGCAGGTGAGAACACGCGTGTGAAGGAGAGTCCGGAGCGCCGCGGCGTGTTCCAGCAGCTGTTTGCTCAGCGCTTAGTGTGTGACGAGTCCTCCTGATGGCACAGAAACCTTTTTTTCTTCCACTTGTTATTTTTATTTACTAATCATGTGTTTGGCCTTTCAAAAGAAAAGACTCATAACTAATGAATGGATAGGAATTAGTTTGAGCTCATGTTCTGACTGTAGTTCTCTCAGATGCAGTAAATAAAGCCCTGTGTGAATCTGTGATTATAATTATAATAGTGCCTTTGTATTATGCAGATAAATAAATATGAACTTTACGGGCTGTGGATTTGTTCTCACTTCTGTCTTTGTCCACAAAATGGTAATTTTCATGAATAATGAAAAATGCATCTAAATCATAATCAGTTAATGTTCATTCCGACATCAACTAATACATTATTAAAAAGTTGCATCTGTTAATATTATTGAATTCTTAAACTATCAACAAGGATTAATGAGTTGATGTTAGTTACTAATGGAACCTAATTGTAAAATCTTATCCACAAAACCGTGAATACAGATATCTTTATTTAAATGTTAATTTTACTGAGCAAACCTCTGTATTTTTAAACTATATGTAAGTATAAATAAAAGCCCTAAAGAATAGTATTACAGCATAATTTACCGCATTAACTATTTATGCCTGGTATAGAGGTTTATTTACACAAAAAAGGTGTGAAAATGATGATAAAATGCTTTGCATTTAAATCAGAATCTGATTTTAATTTTACAAAAAGGTTAATTAACATTTGTCATAATGTCTATGTAAAAAAGATAAAAAGCTTCACAATGTATCATTTTAGAATTACGTTACAGATGCGCTGCAATGTTATTACTTTAATGTCACTTGAAACAATTATCATTATAAAAGTCCATGTAAAAAATATTAATATATTTTTTTACGTACAATAAACGTTTATATAGTACCATTTTTAAAATAAAAATAATGTAAGGATTAAACTACTGAATGTTTGTCCGTCATGTATCAGCGATGGGCGTGTCCTGCGCCGCGGCCCCGCCCCCTGCTGGCGTCACCGCAGCTGCTAGCTCGTCGGTTAGCGTGCTAACAGCGGTCGGTAGTGATGAGACAGCAAAGCTGCGAACGAAGCCATTCCAGCATCCTCACGCAGGCCAGAGAGCAGACAGCGGCGGAGAACGGGTTTAAACCCCGGTCTGAGTCCGTGTTCGGCCACATCGGGAGTGCGGGAGAGCGTCTGTTTGTGTTCATTTATCCGCCGTCACTGACGCCTGCGCGCTTCTCTGTCGGCACACACGCTGCTGGGGACTGAGTTAGCTGCCAGGTAACCAGCAGCCGCGTTTGGTGTGCTAACCAGGAGCTAGCCTGCATTATTTCGCACAAACACTCGCTGAGCGTCTGTGGAGCAGCTGTCTGCGCTTTAAATGGGGACTACATTTAAACCCCGGTCTGAGTCCGTGTTCGGCCACATCGGGAGTGCGTCTGTTTGTGTTCATTTATCCGCCGTCTCTGACGCCTGCGCGCTTCTCTGTCGGCACACACGCTGCTGGGGACTGAGTTAGCTGCCAGGTAACCAGCAGCCGCGTTTGGTGTGCTAACCAGGAGCTAGCCTGCATTATTTCGCACAAACACTCGCTGAGCGTCTGTGGAGCAGCTGTCTGCGCTTTAAATGGGGACTACACGCGGCTTCCTAACGACGTCACTGCACGGACTGTAGCGTGTCCATCAGATTCAGTTCACCGTTTACCGTAGTGTTTCTCGGATGCATCACTCCGAGTCCCCCGGCGGCAGGAGGATGTCCCACCCGTCCGTGTCCGGCTCCGATGAGCAGCAGACGTCCGCTCAGCCCCCGCCGCACAGCCTCAGCCTCCAGCCCGCCGCGACGCAGCTCAAGAAGAAGAGCGGCTTCCAGATCACCAGCGTGCTGCCCGCGCAGGGGTCCTCCGCCAGCGCCAGCAACAGCCTCGCCGAAGACACCGAGAGCTACGACGACATGGACGAGTCGCACACCGAGGACCTGTCCTCGTCCGACATCCTGGACGTGTCGGTTTCCCGGGCCACGGACACCGGCGTCCCTGAGAGGAGCTCGTCGGAGGAGACGCTGAATAGCTTGCAGGGGGGCGAGACGCCGGGAGTCGCGTCGCCTAACGAGCCGGTGATGCAGCAGGGGTACCTGGTCAACGGCGTCCACCACCATCACCACAAGACCGGACGCCCCGCGGCTGCTTCAGCAATCCCCGCCTCGAGCGGGCGCTCCGTGCAAGCTGCGGAGGCAGGCGGCGCTGCACCGGTACCGGACGCCGCCAGAGCTCCGGTCCCCACCGTGATGCCGGTTGCACCCGCAAATCCTCCGACCGCGAGCGCGGCGACCACCGCCTCTCGCTTCAGGGTGGTGAAGCTCGATTCCAACACGGAGCCGTTTCGGAAGGGTCGCTGGACTTGCACGGAGTATTACGAGAAAGACGCCCCGGCTGGAGACGTCGCGGCCGCCGCGCACAGAGCGGTGGAGAGCGTCCTTCAGTCCGAGCACGAGACCACGAGCGGCAGCTCCTCCGGGAGCACTTTGAGTGGCGGCGGAGACGTTCAGCAGGCCTGCGTCGGTCTGCACGCTCCAGACCCGGGCGCTCACCTGCTTCCTCCGCCCTCCGTTCTGTCGGGTGCTGAGAGTTCCTCTGCCTCGGGGCGACCCTACAGTGTAGAGGCCCAGAGCAGCTACCCTGCCAGCACCAGACCTCCGGTGGAATACACCCCGAGGCCGGCAAGCGTCCAGCCCGCAGCTCAAAGTGCAGTGTCACCCAGAGCTGTGCCAGGGCTTCCTCCGGGGGCCGTGTCTCCGAGGCCTCAGGTTCCCGGCCCGCAGATGAGCATCAACCCGGACCCAACTGGAGCCCAGCTGTTTTCTTCCGCCGCTCTGAGCCACCTGCAGCCGCTGCTGCTGAGGGCCCCGCTCCTCCCGGCGGGCCCCGCGTATGTGACGGCCTCGCAGCTGGAAGATGCGCAGCGACTCCTGCTGCAGCACCACACGCTGCTCTCTCTGCCGCGGCTGGCAGCAGGAGGTATGGCAGGCCTCGCAGGGCCGGCTGCGTCTGATGCTGCGGCGGCGGTCTCGAGTGCAGATGAAGACAGGTGAGACACAAGCTCAGACACTGCCTGATGCGGGGGGTTGATGACTGTTATTTTAGGATAATTGAGATGCTTTTATGGTTTTTATTCATATTTTTGTTTTATTTTTAAAAATATTTTTAAGTTTTTTTTATTTTATTGATATTTTTATTTATATATAAATTAATTATTTTTTTATATAAAAATTATTTATATATTTAAGAAATATATAATATAATTTTTTTAGAATGTCTATAATTTTATTTTATTGATATTTTTTTATATATAAATTTAAATTATTTAAATAAAAATTATATATGTATGTATGTATGTGTGTATATATATATATATATATATATATATAATTTTATTAATATTTAAAAAATGTCTATATAGTTTATAATATAGTATTAATTTTTTTAGTTATTTTACATCAAGTTAAACCTGATGTAAAAAATACATATATTTTTTTATTGAATTTTTAAAAAAATATATCTATAAATGTCTTTCCCCCCCTTTTTTTTTCAAGTATTGTTTTTTTTTTAATAATATTATTATTATTATTATTTCAAGTAATGCAAAATGTTTTTTTTGTATCTGACCTCATTGAAGGGTGAATCTCATAAAGTCCAGGTCATATTTCAAAACAAAATCAGAGAAAGTAAGAATAATTTAGTATTTTGCAGTCCTATTTTTGGGACCATTAATATTTTTGTGACATTAACATGACATTAAACCCCAAGGTACTGTAATGCAGAACTCTCATTCTCTTGCGTCACGTTTCAGTAGTAATCTTCATGACGTGGAGTTGTTTGGCCCTGCAGCTGCGTGTGTATTAGTGCAGTGGTTTGTCCTTGAATGAGTCGCTCTGTTCTTCACTTCAGGCTGTTCTGTTTGTGGTCCGGGTCGGGTCAGTCCAGTGCCTCTAAATATAATTCACTCGTCTCGTTCCTGTTCCTCCTCCTCTTTTAAAACTGTCGGCCTGCTGAAGACTCGGAGTAAGCGTGTCAGGATCGCCGTGTGGCCAGCAGCACTAGCGTGTTAGAGTGACGTGTGGACCGTCTGGTTGCCATAGTGACGCATCTGCAGTGACTCAGCAGAAGATGCAGTGTGGCTCTTGTGAGCGTGTGATGATGAGGATGAGGATGAAGATGCTACACTGATCATGTCCTGCAGGGGTTTAATGCAGTGTTGATGCTCTCCTGTGTTTATTGTTTGCATGCTCTGTGTGCAGTCCAGTGGAAAAACCCCAGCGGCGTCACATGACCCGTGTGTGCTTGAATCATTGATGTGCGAGTCCATCGCCGTGTCTCATGTATGTAATCAGTGCAGTGATCAGCATCGGTCTGGACTTCAGCTGATTCATTCAGATATTCCTTATTAATATTGAACATGAAACCTCAATCTGACTCTCTTTACTTTCTTAAATGATGTTCTTGGTCTTGAATCATGTTCAGTTAATAGTCATTCAGTTTTGTTCACTTACGTTTATTCATCTTGTAGAAGAGCAGCAGTGCTCACAGTCACATCACCTTACAGAAGTCAAATGGTTTCCACTATTAGGAAATTAAGCTGAAGACTGCAGCGCTGCTTTGATATCTCAATCTAGCGACAGTATTTCTGCTTGTTTTGTATTGTCTTGTTATTAGCTGATATTAGGTGCTGTCTTGATCTTAGGAAGGTCCGGTTATTGTCATGCATGTTTTGTATTTGAGTTGCATGATGTTTTCTGAGATCATGAGTGACTCAGGTGTGTGATGGAGTTGAGCTGCAGAAGCTGCAGTGCTGAATTTGTCCTGTAGGTGTCAGTGAATCTCCTCTCACAGCTGCGCTCTGTCGCATTCTTCACTGCAGCCCTGTGTGAGTGTGTGTGTGAGAGAGAGTGTGTGTGTGTGTGTGTGTGAGAGAGAGTGTGTGTGTGAGAGAGTGTGCGTGTGTGTATAGTGGGTGTGAGCGAGAGAGAGAATGTGTGTGTGAGAGAGAGTGTGTGTATAGTGTGTGTGTGTGAGAGAGAGTGTGTGTGTGTGAGTGATAAACAGTGCATACCGCAGGAACGCTATAACGGGAAATATTAGCGGTTTTGAAACGTGACATTTTCAAATCGCGGTATACCTTGAAGCCGGTATTCGGCCCATGCCTACTTGCAGACGTTATTTGGATTCATATTGTTTCCAGGCTGTCCATCTTATTGTATTTAGGCTATTATGCATGTTTGATGTGATTGTGTTTATTAGGGATGCTTGTTGATGTTTGTTGTTTAGTTGTTTGGATGATCATCAGACGTGCTGCAGCTTCATTCAGCTCTCACGTGTCTCTGGATTAAATCATATAATCTCACGCCTGGAGCATCCATCTGTGTGTCTCTGTGTGTGTGTGTGTATCTCTGTCTGTGTGTGTGTGTGTGTGTGTGTGTGTCTCTGTGTGTGTGTGTGTGTGTGTGTGTGTCTCTGTGTGTGTGTGTGTGTGTGTGTGTGTCTCTGTGTGTGTGTGTGTGTGTGTGTGTGTCTCTGTGTGTGTGTGTGTGTGTGTGTGTGTCTCTGTGTGTGTGTGTGTGTGTGTGTGTGTCTCTGTGTGTGTGTGTGTGTGTGTGTGTGTCTCTGTGTGTGTGTGTGTGTGTGTGTGTGTCTCTGTGTGTGTGTGTGTGTGTGTGTGTGTCTCTGTGTGTGTGTGTGTGTGTGTGTGTGTCTCTGTGTGTGTGTGTGTGTGTGTGTGTGTGAGAGTGAGTGGTCAGACCTGTGCGATTCGCTCTGTCAGATCAGCGCCTGCGGTGTGACACGCTGAATTATTATCCATATATGATCTCATTCAGATCTCAAGATTTTAAACGCTTGTCACACTGCAGGACTGCTGAGTCACTCTGGATAAAAGCGTCCACTAAATGGTTTAAAAGCTCATTAAAAATGCTGGAAAGAAGAACTAAAATA